GCTATGGTTAAATGCTGATTTATGTATTGTATTTTTGATCAAGTAATTGTCTCTCAGTAAGCAAAAGTTATCACAAATAATTTGAAAACTTGTAGTCATTAGGTAAAAGTATCAAAATATTTTTCTAGGTTCAGAATTTTTGTTCAAGGTAAGAAGTGTTTCATAATCTCAATACACTGCTAAATGATATATACAATAAGAATTAATAAAAGCTTCTTTTAACTGCAATGTCCATTCACTCTTCAGTTATTTGCTGAGATGTCTAATGAACATACTGCCTACTAAAATACAGGATAATGATCTTCTATTTATTCATATTACTAATATTAGCAATAAAATCTTGTTACTATTTTGTAATTTCTCGTCTTTTTCTGGAATAGTAAAAAATCTTTCTCATAGCCTAGTTGATCTCGATAAGCCACTTAACAAAAACTAGTATCTTGTTCAAAATCACGTCTTACAGTAACAGAAGTTTTCCACATATGTAGAGTGTGTTTAATGCTCTAAGTCTTACCTGATTTTTAGGAAAATAACCTCATGAAAACGTATAGTTTAGAGGTTAGTTTATATTAAAAAGCATCGTCCTGGTGTAACTTTTCAAAGAAAAATAATTGTCATGCTTGCTAATCTTCTCAGCAGAGTTGTGGGTTTAAACAAGTATCGAACCTGGAGGTTTGCGCTGGTTTTCTTCCATGTCAGGGGTTACCGTGTTAAATATTTCTCTTCTTCTTTTGTGTATTCATAAAGTAAGCCAATCTTTTTCCAATGACAAGCATTGCAAAAATTTTCTAAATATTAGGCTTTCACAGTTTTCAAGGGTTGAAAATTTATGATAGTGATAAAAGAACAATGATTAAGGTAGTCTGTCAGAGGCATGCTGTTTTATTAGTAGTAGTGAATTTTCATTCTAGATTTTAGAAGAAGTAAGCAGAGAGGGGACAAATAGATATGAAGGGCTATCATTCAGTTATTGTGTTACTGTAAGAATTAGGTGGTTGCTTTCAAAATCTAAAATTGGCAGCATGAACAGTTAAATCTATTGGTGGTGGTAAGTGGAGGAAAAATGTCCCTGAGGGTGTAGGTGTATTTTCCATAAGTTATGATAAATTTAGCAATACCTATTTTTTTTTAATAGTGGCAAGTAATTTAATTTTGTATACTGTAGGAGGGTTGATTTAAGAGTCAGAGTAGATAATCTGAAAATTAAAGAGGAATATATTGGATCAGAAGAAATTCTTATGATTTATCCTATAAAATACACTTTAAAAAATGTCTCTATGTAGAGAATAGCACAGTAGTCATGTTAGCTGATCTAATGAACAATGATGCATTTGGCATTAATGGGACTGAAAGTATAGTTTATGAACTATGTTATTGAGTGATACACTATAAACAATGCAGTTGTAAACATAACATTAATATAGACCTGGTCGCAAGTATATGATAAGCTCCTTTTTTACAAGACAATTTTAGTTTTCATATTAATTTTCTTGCTTACAAGAAATCAAACAAGGAGATTAACAGAAAAAAACTTATGTGTTTCATTGCAAATTCATCATAGTTGTGACAAGGCAAACAAATGAGCTGTCTTCTGCTCTGTACAAGCTTCTCTAGCAACATATTGGAACATCAATGGCATGTAGCATTTCATGAACTGATGAATGCTGACTCCTGCAATAATCACTGAAGAAATACAAACATGAATTTAGTATTACATTTGCTTATCTTTTGTCCTTATTACAGTGCATTTATAGTTCTTCCTTAGAAGAAAGCTTTCAAACCTTAAGTCTTGTAATAGAAACTTTCCAATGTAATGAAGAAATGGAAATTCAGATTTGTATTATTTTCCAAAGGACTTGTCTGTATATATTTCAAGCAACTCACGTATTCAAAGACTTATGGGAATATTGATATAAAAGCATTCAATGTAAAATAATATTTGTCTCCAGTGTATACATGTAGCCATATGCATTTTTAGTGAATTGAATGGAAGAATTCACAAAATGAAGTACATTACACTTGTGGATTGTGCTTTAGCTATTTAAAAATGATATATTTTCTTTTAACTGTGATTTTACCATATGTGTCTTCCAGATGTGTGGAGGTGATTGCCAAAGAAGGCCGGAACCTGAAAGAGCTGTATTTAGTATCCTGTAAGATCACTGACTATGGTATGTGACATACCTATATCTTTGTTTTTATGAAGATTGAGCTCTATTAGCTTTTCACAGGGACTCGTACGAAAATAAGTCTTGGAAATGTATAGATAAAAAATTTCGGAACCTTTATCCATAAAAAAAGGAAATATACAAAAAGTTTTTGACATGCTTAAAAATATTTGTGGTTGGAAGTATGAAAGTCAGTATACATATGTGCTGCAAAGTGTTCCTTATAGAATTGACAGTTACTGGGCAGACTAGGTAGAGTGCCCTTTGAAATGTCCTGGAGACCAGGAAAGTGTTTGAGGAAAATCCAAAAATACATGTGCATTTCTAGATGCTGTAAAAGCACAACTAAGCAACTATGAGTGTGGATTGATTGCCTATTGTAGGCCATGCAATTTGAAGGAACTTTATGATCCCGTAAAAATGCCATTATGACAAAATAGAGAGGAGCACCTTAGGAATTAGGCTTTCTGTCTGATACCACTTGAGTGTGTTTGCAGAGGCTGCTTTGTTTTATCTGGGTTTGTTTTTTTCAAATAAGATACTAACCTCAAATAAGACACTTATTTCTGCAGTAAGGCCAAATTCTCAAATGTCTGTCTCCCACTTACATGCCCAAATTTCAGTAGGATTTACAAACTGTACCTTTGAGATGTGCATCTCAGGTTTTCTGATTATTTTGTTTCTTATTCACTCTATTTTTGTTTTAACTTTTTACTCCATAGATTTTATAAAAAATTACTGTGTCAAAGTGATAAATTACCTTTAAATGAGTCACAGACTCGTTCTTTTATTCTCCCCTTCAGATTTTGCACTTCACTGGGGTTTGCCTGGGTGCATTCAAGGGTATGTTGGTCTGCAGAGTTCAGCTCGCCTGATGTCCACAGTATTTGAACATGAGCTCAAAATACAGCTGTAGCACTTGTGGGAGCTTTGGGTCATGGCAGAGGAGAGGGAGCATGGGCCTATACCACGGTTTTCTCTGGTCTGCAGTTGTTTGTACTTCCATGTGCAGAACTGATCTTGCCAAAGTTGAAAACAGATTTTCTTGGCTTGATACCACTTGTTACTGATGAATTTGTGGATTTGTGAAAGGGAGACTGTCTGCTGGAAATTCAGGAGAGGAGTTGTATGTAGAACGCAAAGTGACAATGAAGGTGTTTCCTGTCACTGCTATAGGGTCAGAGGTGCAGGGCCTCAGTTGGAAGTGCAACTCTCCATTTGTGTATTATAGATCTACTAGCTGTACTTTTCTCCCTTTTGATTTCAACAACCTATGTAGAAGGAAATATCATGGGAATAATGGAATTCACATCTTGAGGAACAATAATTTCTAAAACTGATTTTGCCCTTTATTGGCTGCATTTATTGAGAGGTAAACATGATTTCACCCAAAAGTAGGGAAACAGACACTGAGAAACTGAAGTAAAGCAGCTGAGGATAGGGGAAGTCTTGCTTATGAAAGAATGGAGAGAGGGGAAAGGAAGTGTCCATAGCTAGATGAAAAGTGGGAAATGTGTTTCACAGAATGAATGAGTGGAGAGTACAGGCAGAGTTTGGATGATTAGCTTGGCAACCATAGTCATCCAACCTGAGCTGTTGACTTCTGTGGCCTAAGGCTTTCTTGTCACTAATGTGTTGGCTTCTGCAGTCGTTCAACATTATTGCAGTCAGTTACTGGGACTTCGAGAACATCTTCAGTTGGTAGTGTCGACACTAGGGTTTAGTATTCACTTTAAAATTTGCCTATTTATGCTAATAAGGATCAGTAAGACATCCAGCAAAACAGCTGTGATACTGACTGATTTTTGATACATTATTAAGATTAATTGATTATCATTATAATCTTCAGCATATCTCAGCATGCCAGCCTGACAAATATATTCATCTGCTTGTGATATCTGAATTGAAAATGCAAAATAAACAGTAGCAAAGTAGAATTTATAAGTATAATTTATGCTTTATAAGGAAGTAAAAACTTTGCCTTAGATTAAAAATGTGATAGCAAGTGAATATTAATGAGTTTAACAAGAATGCTGCAGGTTGGAGCCAGGCTTCACCCTTTTACTTGCTTCCTTTTTCATGTATTTCCTGGTACTTCAGTGGAAGACTTTCCCACATTTGGTTGTGGTGCTGTTAAGTTAAAAAATTGAGCTCATTACAGTGCTGTAAGGTCAATTTGTTGTTGAACTTCCTTTATCAAAGAAGCTGCCTCTCTTCTACAAATAGAAAAGAGCAGCCATTCTCTTCTTCAAATGCTTTTCAAGCCCTCATGTCCTCCGCACCTTTGTATTTGTGCAAAGTAGAGGAAATCAGCTGAGAAGCACGTACATGACTTGTGGGTTCATTCAGGTGGTCTCCTGTGGTCTTACAAAGACTTACAACTTTACATTGATAGTTGTTCAGGGTCCACCAAGAAGTAGGTAAGTAGTATCTGAAGCTCTCTGAGGCTGTGGCTGGGTGGGACCATACAGCCATATGCAACTGTGCTTTTTTGTTTGATAATCCTGAGGGTGAAACACAATTGTCCTTCCTTTGGAAATTAAAATCTTGACACCAATTTTAAATTGTAACTGTACACATTTTTTACACTCAATTTTTAAAACATACCTAGAGCTGGTAACCAGATTTCTTGCAACTTGATGGAGTTCAGATGCAGGCATGGACTACAGATGCAGGATTTTTAAAGCCCTCTTTGAAACTGTTCAGCAATTTTTGAGACTACAGCAGTTAGCAGAGTTTTGGCCACTGGGACAAGATCATAATTACTTAGCAATTCAACTGGAAAAAAAATAAGTTATATTGCTAATTTCCAACAAAATTTGTAATTATTTTAGACATTAATTAAGCAAAAATAATAATAATAATTGCAGCAAATAAGGAAGTAATTAAAGCAAAAACTGTGATTGTTGCCCTGCAATTAATGCAATAGGTAGGTATGTGTGAGGTAATTTCATGCACTGTAGCAAAGACTGTGAAATGTGAACTTCATCATTTTATTCATTTCATTCTTTTGTTCCGATTTCTACAAAAAGACAGTATACAAAACTACCAGACAGACATGCTTATATGCAATTAGTATTTTTAAAACACACTAAAATACTTAATTTTATTTTGAAGCCTAAAAGATTAATTAAAACCCGCAATACCCTAATAATGTAGCCATAGGCAGCATTACTTTCTCTGACATTTTGCTGCCCAAAAAAAAGTTGTATTATAAGGTTGTTAACTTGTGAAAAAGAAAAGAATATATTGCTCTACTTCATGTTACAGTACAAAATAGTTAATTCTGTGGTTTTTTGTATACAAAAAGTATATTTTGTTTACTTCTGAAAAATTTATAGAATGGTATCTTTGTTTATGTTTGTCTAGCATCATTTTCTAAAAATCCGTTTTTAATTACTGATGTTTATTACAGTGTAACTTGCTAGGATGCTGAAAATGAGTTTAAAAGTTCCTTTACATCCATCACATTGTTAAATGCTAAATAATCACTAAAATGTACCTAAACTGACAGGAGAGACTGAATTAGTATAATCTTTGAGATAAGCCCTTGTTTGCCTAAGAACACAGGCAGAGTGAAGTTAAAGCTGACATTATTTCCTCATATCATTTTGCCCTTTTGTTAAACAATCACGAATTAAGCATGGTTTGTCAGTGTTATCTTTGAATTTCCTGCCTTTTGTTGATCTGTGTCACAACCTTAACTTTACTTAAACATAGGGGGTTTGTATTTAAGCTTTTACTAAGAACTAGTAAGAAAGCTAGGCTTTCTCAGCTGTGAGGAGGCTGTGTCAAATGAATTAGGTTGACGTGAAGATGTATAGTAGTGAGCTAGGGCAGCAAGCACACACAGAATTGTGCAACTGTCTTTTCAATTTTATGCTCTAGTTCTGGGTTTTATTGGTATCCTTAGTACTGGGAACTTGTTTTAAGTAAATTATTACTTATAATGTTTGTAATGGTGCAGAGTGCTATGTACTTTGAAACACATGAGATTTTGTGTTCAAAGATGAAAAGATTTGATGAAACTAGCCTGTGAAACAGGAGTAGATGTTTGAAGGGTCTGATCTTGCAGTAATGTTAAGTGAAAATTTACTAAGAATTACTTAAAAACTGCATTATTACCAGTAATGAAAGATTAAAGTCTCTAAGGCTTTACTTCCACTTTAGAAAAGTAGCCAGACCACTGGTTTTTGTCTGGATGTGCAAAAAGACATTTCAAGGCAAGCTTTAAATTGTAGGCTTCCACTAAGAGAAAAAAGAAGAAAAACAAAAAGACCCAAAATGAATCAAACACCACCACTCAAAACAAACAAAACAAATGTTTTTAAAAAAGCTTGGAAGGAAGTGTTCAAAATCAGAACTTTGTACAGCTGCACCATGAAAAATCACTTAAGAAATATCTGAAAAATGAAAGTACCCAAAATGTTATTAATAGGAGTGCGGTTAGCACGGTTTGGTTAATATGTTTATCTCATAACGATTCCTGTCAAGTAACCTGCAGAAGATGACAGTTGTCTCAACAGTTGTCATGTAGAATTTCCATTACCTAGTAGTTCTGGATTTTGCTTAACTTAAAAAGTCTATTTCTATCTGTAAAGTAATTGCACAAAGCTTTTCAGATGAAATGCTTGGCACAAGGACCTGAGGTGAACTGTGGTATTTTGCTGATAGCTTAAAGATTCCAAATATTACAAAAGAGCTCTCTAGACATGTAGCATTTTTGTTTTCTAAAATTGTGAGTATTCCTTTTTCATTTCACCATTTACTGATATATTTAGTGTCTCTGAGGACACATGATTTTTTTAAAAGGTTTTTCTTCTATGAGGGTGTTTGCTGAAGCATAAAACAAGTTTTGGCAAACTATAATGAATTATATAGGTTTTATTTTTAAATGTTATAGATGGGACATAGCTGTTAGAAGTAGATGTCAGGAGGAATAAGATAGTGTTTATAGTAAGTCAAGTCCAACTGTCACAAGACAAAACATAAGTGTAAGCTGC